TTTTTTTTTTAACATATTCTCTCTCCTCCCTTGAGAAGTTTTCAGCCAAATCAAATGGAGAAAAAAATCTGCCACCTCCTCCTTTAGCCTAAATGACAGGAAGACTTATACATTCAAATATGTTTCTTTTCCCGCAGGCCCAGCACGGGACTCTCAGATGTGTCAATATGTAAGGGAATCGGGGCGGGGCGGGGCGGGGGGGAGGGGGGAGGAGGAAGGGAGGGATCCTATAAATGATCAAAACCAAATGTCCTCAAAGCTTTCCAGCCATGGATGGGAGGGATAAAGCAGCAGAGGAATCCACCAATCAGGGCAGTGGAAAACATGGTCCCCACAAAACATCACACCATCATTGGACAAAAGATAGAAAGGGGTTGAAAGTCAGAAAGGAATTCCTTGAGCCAGCATCGTTTCCAGCTAGTTTACGCGCAGCAGTAGAGCAAGTTAAGGCTGCATAAGGAAAAAGCAGGTATCAGTCATGAAAACTACCTTTATTTATTTATATCCCACCTTTATTTTTTATATATAATTAATTCAAGGTGCTGAACATACCTAATCTTCCTTCTTCCTCCAATTTTCCCCATAACAACAAACCCGAGAGGGAATGACTAGCCCAAAGTCACCAGTCAGCATTCATGCCTAAAGCAGGAGTAGAACTTTGCTGGTTTCTAGGCCAGCACCTTAACCATTAGACCAAACCCATATTGCTGCTTGAGGTGGTCAGGGTAGGGTATAACTAGTGTCAGTGAAAAATAATAGAGCAAAGATACAGCTAAGACAAAATACAGTAAAAATTGTAGACTCTTAAAATAGAAATTGTATTATTGTCAGGATAATAAAGTAGTAACACCTAGAGCTGCAGAGAAGTAACAATAAGAAAATAAAACTTAAATCAAAAATAGGATAAAGAATAAAATATATGGAGGAATATATTTGCTTCATCAAAAAACTTGCATCAGCTTTCTTGTATTTACTTCAGTGAAGTAAATAACTTTCTTTTCTGAACCTTTTAATAATAAAAGACTCTTAAGTGTAGTAGACATTGTTTCACTTCCTGCCTGAATCTGTTACTATCCGCAAACTGAACCAATGATGACTACGAGGCTTATGCTTCATGTCAGGGATCCCCAACCCCTGGGCCACAGCCCACTACTGGGCCGTGAGCGGTTTGAAATCGGGCCACAGAAGTGGCAGGTAAGTGTGCGTGCATGCAGGAAGATCCCCACTTGTGCGAGCAGTGGGCAAGTGCGTGCACGTGCACTCCATTTGCATAACCAATGGGTGTGCAAATGTACCTGTGCGTGCTCTTGACAGCTGCTTGCACCTCCCCTCCCCACCTGCCGGTCCACAAAGTCGGAAAAGTTGGAGAATTCTGCCTTATGTAGGATAATACTTATGTTCTCCTGCTCTCAACAGTCACCAACCAAACCTAGAGATAATGTGCTTTGGGACAGCCTTTTTAAAAATGGTTCCTAGACCTTGATTGACACACCAATGGCTCCTCCAAAGTACATCCCTCCCCCAATAATTGTTCATGGCCTTTGTAATGATGAGCACATATCTGAGCAGCAGCTTCCCTGCTCTCTTTCTGTGAAAAAAACTTCTGATCAATTTAGAAATAAGGATGATTATAAATAGAATTACACATACATACAAAAATAATAATTCTTCTTTCTGGTGAAAAAAACTGGTGACCAAGGATGATACTTGAATGTTCTGTTTTTGTATCTAGAGATCAGGCAGTGTTTCACAAGATAGAGGAAACAAGTACAGATATGATCAATGGTTGAGGAAACTAGGTATATGTAGCCTATTAAAGAGAAGAATTAGGAAGGACTTTATAACTATCTTCCAATACTTGAGGGGCTGTCACAGAGAAGAGGGGAGTGACTTTTTTTCTCTGAAGCACCTGAGTGCAGGACAGGAAGTAACGGGTGGAAGCTTGTTAAAGAGAGATCAAATCTAGAAGTAAGGAGAAATTTTCTGACAGTGAGAATTAATCAATGGAATAATTTGCCTCCCAGAGGTGTGGGTGCTCCTCCACTGGAGATTTTTAAGAATAGACTGGACAACCATTTGATTGAAATGGTATAAGGTCTCCTGTCTTGAGCAAAGGTTGGACTAGAATAGATGATCTCTGAGATCCCTGCCAGCCCTATGAGTCTGTGCTGTATGTTCTATATTCTAAAGAGGCAATTTAATGGGAAATTAATTAAATAAATAATTCTTTGAATAAAGAATGAGAAGAGATAAAAGATGAAACTTTTTCAAGAGGCGAAAATATAGTCTTTCTTGTGCATTTTGAGAGGGCCCTTATAAAT